TATATATATATATATATATATATATATATATATATATATATATACACTAGAATAAATATAACATTGCTACTTTGCGGATTCTCACTTATTGTGAAGGGGGGTTGTAACCTAACACCCGCAATAAACGAAGTAATGCTGTATTGACAACTTACGAAACAGCTGTCCTCAATGACGGTGTATCTCAGCCTGGGGTTGCCCTGAGCTCTGAGCTCTTGACCGTTGGAGCCTCGGAGGAGCAGGGCCTTCTTTAGGTCGCCGTTCTCGTCCTTAAAAGCCTTGCTGTTCTTGCAGTGGTAGGTGATGTTCTGGTGCGCCTCTTTGGATAGCAGCTGCAGCAGCTTCAGCTGAACCGCCACCGCGTTCGGCTGCTCCTCCTTGTTGCCGTAGCGGAACTAAAACGAGAAGTCAAAGATTTGTTAAAAAAAAAAAAGATCTAAAAAGGTTTGAAACAGATGACGTGCAAACGAATCTTCTTTACTTTAGTTCCACCGTTCATGTCGGCGCCAAACCAAACGGGTTTGATGGGACTGGGACTGGATTTTGTCCACCAGGCTTTACGAGGAACGTTGGGCGGATTGGCGGAGATGCAGGTTTCACCATTTTCCATGCTGCAGAACACTCTGATGGCGTCTTTGGTGCTTCCTTGGTTGGGATCTAACCAGTACTCCCCTGTAGCAAAGACCCAAGTAAAGCGTCTAATCAGAACGTGAGATGATTTAATGAATATTAATGAGAAGTAAGGAGACCCTGACCGCTCTTTTTCTGAGGGTAGCACTGCTTGATGTCTTGGCATGTTTTCGCAGGGTTCATCCTGCTTCCATCTGGACTGCGAAGGTTCTGGAGGTGACCGTTGAGGGTCTTTAACGTGGCTCGGACGCCTGTTTCGGCATGCAGGACGTTCTTATTGGGCAGAGCTTCATCTTTGTTGAATTCTGGGAGAGGATCCGCAGCGGCATCATACTCTGCGAGGTCTACAGCTTCCTGAACGTCACCGTTAGCCTCATAATCCACTGAAAAGAGCTCCTCCACAGCTGTGGTGGGAGGTCCAGGTGGGCCTGGAAGGCCAGTTGGTCCAGGTTCTCCAGGTGGACCCTGATGAAGATAAAATGAATATGCATGCTGTTTGTCTCTCACCACAAACGGATAATAAATCCTCGTGGTTTGCTTTGTGTCACCTGAGCTCCGATGTCTCCGCTGGTTCCTCTGCTTCCAGGAGCACCGGCTGCCCCAGGGTGGCCGATGTTCCCCTCCTTTCCCGGAGGACCCACCACACCTGGAGGTCCCTATGTAGGTGTAACAAAACGGAGTTTTATCGCACCCCAAAAATACTTGTATTACAATTTGTTCACGTTGTTTTGTTTACCCTCTGTCCAGCTGGTCCAACTATTCCGCGCTCTCCTGCATCTCCTGTAGCGCCCTGAAACAGAGATTATTCTTTTAGGTTCCCCTAAAGAAACAGAACCAAACTTTGGTTCTCATAAGAAATCTCTCATTGAGCTGAGTACAGAAATTGTTTGGGGGTCATGAAAAGTTTGTAGAAGTGTAAGGATGGCGCCCTCTGGTGACCGGTCCCCATTCTTACACCCCCGGGTTTCCCTGTTGATTGTCCTGATTGGTTCCACCTGCATGTCCTGTCCAGGTGTGTGTGGTTGTGTCTTGTTACTCTGTGTGTATATAAGTTTGTGTCTTTGTGTTACTCATTGTCTGGTTTCCCTCCCGAGTCCTTGGTAGTTTCCTGTGCGCCTCCTCCAGTGTTTCTGCGTGTTCTCCTGGAGTTATGTGAGTACAGCTGCCACGACAGCTTGTTATTTGGTGTTCAATTAAAGTGCTTCTTATTTTACTCTTCGAGTCTTTGAGTCCCGCCTGCATCACTGGGTTCTGCTCCAAGACCATCATCGCTGACAAGAAGAGCTTGTATATCAATGTTCAGAGTTTAAAGTCAGTCGTTGCCACCTTGTAAAATAAATCTAACTGAAAAATTCCAATTTTTCCATTTGTAGGAAAGATTTGCGGTTGTGAAAGACAGACTTTAAATAAAAACGAGCTCAATTCAGCGCTTAAAATACTTAAAATGTGCCTGACTCTCAAGCTACAAATGTGAATTATATTTGTTTACCCCTCAAATGGATTACCGTAATTTCCGGACTATAAGCCGCTACTTTTTCTCACATTTGAACAACGTGTGGCTTACACAATACTGCAACTAATTTATGTTTTTTTTTGTTTGTTTTTGTTTTTTATGGGCTAACGAGCTTAATGCCGCCAAAACATTTAGCCTCGTCACACCTGGATGCTTACATAGCTGCTCAGTACACGTCTCTCTTGGGGGTGGGGGGTGTCCTCATGACTCAATGAGACTATCTGTATGAATAAAGTTAAAAAAAAGCTGACCAATGAAATTATCAAACAGGTCACAGTTGACCAATGACACTTAGTTTTATTGGTCGACTGGGGAGGGGAGAAACTTTGTTCCCCTTCCCATTCTCTGTTGTGCCCCCCGGGGATGGGGGGTGTATTTGCAGCCACTCAAAATAAGTGTGAATTGTGCATTTAAAATGACAGCACAAGCCGTCTATGCACAGGAGGAAGATAAAGATAGAAATCAAAGACTTCCTGGTAGGCTACTGTATATACTGTATATTAAATATATATATATATTAAAAGCTTCAAAAAAATCTTTCTGTGTAAATATCTCATGTTACAATGTGGACACAACGACTTATAGACATTGCGGCCTATATATGTACAATTATTTATTTATTTTATTTAGTGGGTGTGGCTTATATTCAAGTGCGCTCAATAGTCCAAAATTACGGTAAATTGTGACAACTCAACCCCAAATCATGTTTTCATTTTCCGAATTTTAAATCTAATTTTAGATCTCAGTTGAACAGCGTTCTCCTCACTTCTGGTTTCTTAGACTTTGAGTCAAATTTCAGTGCGAGTTTCATACAAAATGAATAAAATGTAAACTAATTTTACCCCATACAAATTACAGATCTGTGTTTTCCTACAATTTAAGTTGGGTACAAAGACCTTTTTTAAATTGGATATTTTTTTTAAAAGAGAATAATTCATTAAAATTTTCTGGTTTAAAAAAAAAAAAAAAAAGTTGAAAGTTGACTATTTTTAGATGGACAATCCAAAGGTCCAACCGACTTTGTTTATTGAAATATGCCCACTAAAACAACATCAATTTTTGTTTTAGGTTAACTTTTTTTAAGCATTCCTTCAAACTGAAATCTTTTCTATACATGAATAAAATTAAAATTTTCAGTTTTTAATTTACTAGTCGGCATTTCACGGTAATCATTAACAATTAACTTTTTTTTTCTGGGGGGTGGGTGGGGAATATGTAAGTACTGTGATATTTAGCTCACATTTTCTGTCAAAATATACCTGTAATTATAATGTTAGAAGTTTGGCTTCAGTGTTGTGCAGCTTTTTTTTTTTTTTAAACAGCCTGAAGCTTTATGTGTTTTATACTCCCAAAGCTACATTACTAACATAAATGTTCAAAAGTTATGGTATAATTTTTTTTTTTTTCCCCTCTTCTTCTTTTGGCTGCTCCCTGCGTCACCACAGCGAACTAAGTCGCATGGAGACATGGCAGTTATTTTTATGCCGGATGCCCATCCTGACGCAACCACAGACCACCGAGCTACCACAGCCCTCTGTGTGGAGCAGAGAGCTGCTAGGACACCCAGAGGAGCAGATGGTGGGGGTTAAGGGCCTTGCTCAAGGGCCCAGAGTGGGACGAATGAGGGCGGGGGTGCTTAAACTAGCCCACCCACATTTTTGATGTTGTCGGTACCGGGGCTTGAACTGGCTATGTTCCGATCACTGGCCCACCTTCTCTAACCTCTGCGCCACCACCCCCCCATGGTATAATTATGCATATACTGTATTTTTTGGACTATAAGGCACACTTCAGGTCTCTCGTGTAAATGAGTCCCTGAGGCTCAATGGGATTAACCTGTCTAAATAAAGGTTGAATGAAAAAAAAAAAAAAATCCTTAAATTTACTCAAAAACTGACAGTGAGCCTTATAATCCAGTGCACCTTTATTAACTCTGGATGTGCTTACTGACCTTGAACCGATTTTATGTGGTACAAGCATGTTAGGCCTATTGGTAACTCTAAATTGTCCCTAGGTGTGAGTGAGAGAGTGAATGGTTGTTTGTCTCGTTTGTCTCTACTGTATGTGGCCCTGTGATGGACTTGTGACCCGTCCAGGGTGTACCCCGCCCCTCGCACAGTGATTGATGGACATGGGCACCGGCGACCCCCGTGACTCAAAATGGAATAAGCGGGTAAAGATAATGGATGGATGGATGGACTCATTTATACCAAGAAAGATGACTCTAAATGCACTCTGTTTTTATTTAAACATAAACATTTTCCTTACTGTGATTCCTGGTAGACCCTGGAGTCCTGTAAATCCTCTGTGACCTTTCTGACCCCTCTCTCCTTGGTCTCCAGTGCCTCCTTTCTCTCCTTGTGGTCCTTGGGGGCCCTTGGCACCAACACAGTGTCACCGTTCAACTCAATGGATAAAAAACGACTCAAATAAACAGTAATGTTTGGCATTGTGAGGTGAAAAATAGTCTTACCACTTTCCCCCTAACTCCAGGTTGTCCTTGGGGTCCTGGAGGACCTCTATCACCCTAAACCCAATCAAACAAAAAGACACAATAAAAGATAATGGCGAAAGGTTGGCAGATGTAAAGTCGAATCAAAGACAGGTGTAAAACTCACATTTGTGCCACTTTGACCAGGACCGCCTGTTAGTCCCACCGGACCCTCATTACCTGGAGACCCAGAAACTCCAGGCAAACCCTCTGGACCTGGGTTTCCTTTATCTCCCTGAAAACACAAAACATTGATTTGTTCATATTGACAAACCTGTCCACTCACTCACTAGAGGAACGCAATATGAGCCAAAATGCTCTAACCAGCTAAAAGTACGAACTATTTCTCAGATCGGAAGCAAAGTTCGACACAATGGTACTTTAGCTATTTAATGATCCGAATGGTGTGCCACAAGGCTCAATTTTAGGACACATTCTTTTTGCAATTTATATACATAATGTAGGTCACAACATTCCTGATGCATCCTTGTATCTCTATGCTGACGATACAGTTGTTTATTGCCGAGCGAACACAGCTGCCAAGGTTTTCCAGCTTCTACAGTCTGCATTTGACAACATTCAGTCAAACCTATTCCATCTCAAACTGGTGCTAAATGCTGATAAAACCAAGGAGATGTTGTTTTCCAACCAAAAGTTGGTGCCAGCAGCTCTTCCCCTTATCTCATCCATGCATGGTGTTCTTATTGAGTTTGTGGATTCTTACAAATACTTGGGAATTTTTATTTATGCACATCTCTCTTTTCAGCCGCATGTTGAAAGCTTGATAAAAAAAAACTGAAATTGAAACTGATTTTCTTTTTCAGAAATAGATCTTGCTTAACTCTGAATGCCAGGAAATGCCTTGTAGTTGCTACTTTTCTACCAGCTATCGATTATGGTGACGTTATTTACATAAATGTCCCTACAAGCTCCTTGCTGATGTTGGATGCTGTCTATCATGGTGCGCTAAGATTCATAACTGGTTGTAACTACCGTACCCATTACTGCACTCTGTACTCATTGGTCAGTTGGTCATTATCTATACATAGGCTCTCTCACTGGTACATCTTCATGTATAAATCACTCCTTGGTCTGCTGCCTTCTTATATCTCCTCCCACATGTCACGCCGTCAATGCAGTTACGGTGTGCATTCTCAGGGATTCATTACCTGCAGCGTTCCCTCAGTACGGACTGAATTTGGCAAAAAGGCAATTTCTTACACTGCTCCTGTAACACCTTGCAAAAAGACTTGACTCTATCGATTTTGATTTATTTAAGGTATTTTCAACATTTGGATTCAAGGATTCAACGTCACACCCACAATTTTCTTAAATTTCCCGTTTTATGCACAATTATTGTACTTTGTAATAGCTGCTAACTAAATCAACTGCTAAATCAACAATTTCCTGCAGGATCAGTAAAGTTCTATCTTATCTCAACTCCGAGCGTTTTATTCTACTTGGAGTCGGTTTAGACAAATAAGGCCTGACTGTGCTGAACCTGCTTCGTAGCCTGAACCTGTCTGACAGAACACAAACTCAGGAACAGTGGTTTTACTCTCACCCTTTCTCCTAGAAGACCATCTTTACCAGGGGCCCCTTCTGCTCCAGCAATACCCTGGAAAAATGACATGAAACACGCTCATGCAACAACTACAAACACATTTGGGATATTGTAAGGCTGAACCTAACTCAACAAAAGTTCATCACATCTGCAGCTCTTAGATGCAATGATTAGTAGGTGATTAATGTTTGCACAAAAGTAGCCGAAATGTATTTGCTGTGGCCAAAAGGGCAAACCTCAGGGCCAGCGTCTCCTCTTGGCCCGGTGGTCCCTGGTAAACCAACCCCACCAGCTGGACCTCTGGATCCTTGAGCTCCAGGAGTTCCTGCTTTTCCCGGTGGACCCTGTGGAACAAATACATGTAAAAACTCCCATCTAAGTCGAGAAGCAACACCAACACTGCGATAATCAAGAAACATTATGCACTCACAGCGGGACCAGGCAGTCCCACCAAGCCCGACTCTCCTCTGACTCCGGGCTGGCCCACAATTCCTCGCTGTCCTGAGACACCAGCCGGCCCCGGAGGCCCATCAGGACCCTGACAGAGAAAGCGCAAGAGCACTTTAACAACTGGAATGTGTTGGAAAAGCAGAAAGTGCTTCTCTTTTCCTTACCAGAGGCCCGTCCTCTCCTGAGTCTCCCTTCTCTCCGGGAGTGCCTTGTAGACCCGGTGGTCCTCTCTCACCTTGCCGCCCCATGGCCCCATTCTCTCCTAGAACTCCAGAAGGACCCTTCTTTCCTGGAGTGCCTATAGGCCCATCTGCCCCAACAGATCCCTGAACACAAACACACACCAAATACCTTTAAATATTCACTGGTTTTCCAACATCGGCACTAGTTTGAAATAAAGAATGCATGCGTTAAAAATTAAATCAAAGTTTATACAAAATCACTATTCTCGTATTTCTTCATGAAATAGTTGCACACCACTTAACATATAAACTGGGCTTTAATAAAAACAAACACGTAAAAACAACTAGGCAAAATTTTATGGCTTTTTGTTCAATTTCAAGATAAATCATAAAAAAAAATGATGATGGAAGAAGCAAGGAATGAACAAACAAACAAATTAAAGACGTAACTAAATGTTAGACCTAAAATGGAAAATCTTCAAGTTCAAGGTTTTTTATGTCATTCGCATCACATGTGGTACATAAGGTGGAATGAAACTGTGTACTCCAGGTCAAAGTTACACAAAACATTTTTTTAGCAAAAATATAAAGTATAAAAAGAAGCAGTATATAAGGATCTAAGATATACACTAAGATATACGCTAAATGAAAGTTAAACAATATGCTAAAACATCTAAGATACACGCTGAACACTAATAATGTAAAATAACGCAGTATATTAAACAGCAGCCCAAACATGAGACTGAGATCTGGACATATTTAAGACTTTGTAAGGTTGAAAATTAAGACTCTCCAATTTATGAATTTTGAAGCCTTTGAAGAAAATGATAAAGTGAAAAACACAAATCAGGTTGCCGATTGGTCCGTTGCTAATGATCCTACTGGACATGCTGACAGATGGCATCAAGGCTCCGACTCTTGCAAAAAAAACCCCCATGTTTTATTGGCCCGTTTAAGTATAATAATTTATTCCATATTTATTCAATATTTTGGTGAGAACTGAGTTTCCTTACAAAACCATAATGATGGTTTTTAAACTTTTCAGGGGTGCTGAGTTACAACTTAGGGGTTCTTGAGCATCCCCAAAAAGAGGCTAAAATCGCCACTGATGGGGGGACAAAACATGTGTTCAATCATACCAAAATTACTCCATAAAATGGCAATTATTTTATTTTCAGCGTGCTGTAGATTAAAAATTATACCAGAGTATTAGGGCCACGCTAAGAACAACAAAAACAAAAATATTACATTGCGAGAAAAAAGTCATAAAATTACAAGAATAAAATCATAGTATTAGGAGAATAAAGTCGTACAACAATAAAGTCATAAGATTATGATAATAAAGTTGTTGCATTGTGAGAATAAAGTTGTACGAGAATAAAGTCATAACATTATGAGAATAAAGTCGTTTAGCCTTGCAGTCGACCACTTCCAGAAAGCTCCTCTTCCACAAAAGAAGCAACATCTACCAAATCCATGTTTCTTTCTTCGAAACAGACATAGTCATTTGCACAATCATGTCAAAGTCCTGATACTGATAATAATCTAATGCTGATGTGCTAACAGATTAAGACTTTCCTTATTTGTAAAACCATTATCAAAGTATAACTTAACAAGATGCTCAACATTCATCATTTTACCACAGTTGTAAGACTACTTTTTCGTGTCAAAGTTCTGATAATATGGTAATTTTACACATTTATTCTCATAATATTTCAACTTTATTCTCGTACGACTTTATTTTCGTAATTTACAACGTTATTCTTGTAATACTATAACTTTATTCTCATATTATGTCAACTTTATTCTCGTAATATTTCAATTTTATTCTTGTACAACATAATTTTTGTAATATTACAACTTTATTCTTGTAATACTACAACTTTATTCTCGTAATGTTACAACTTTATTCTCGTAATACTAAGAATTTATTCTCGTAATATTTCAACTTTATTCTCATAATACTATGACTTTATTCTCATAATGTTTTTACTTTGTTTTCATACGGCTTTATTTTCGTAATTTACAACTTTATTCTCGTAATACTATGACTTTATTCTCATTATTTCAACTTTTATCTCCTAATACTACAACTTTATTCTCGTAATATTTCGACTTTATTCCTGTACGACTCTATTTTTGTATTAATATGACTTTATTCTTGTAATTTTTCAACTATATTCTCGTAATATTTCGACTTTATTCCCATACGACTCTATTTTCATAATATTACGACTTTATTCTTGTAATACTATGACTTTATTTTCTTAATGTTACAACTTTATTCTCATAATATTACAACTTTATTCTCGTAAAATTTTGACTTTATTCTCGTAATACTACGACTTTATTCTCATTTTATTTCGACTTTATTCTTGTAATATTATTACAACTTTATTCTTGTAATACTACGACTTTATTTTCATAATATTATGACTTTATTCTCATATGACTTTATTTTTGTAATATTACAACTTTATTTTCATAATACTATGACTTTATTCTCATTATTTCAACTTTATTCTTGTAATATTTCTATTTTATTCTTGTACGACTTTATTTTTGTAATACTACTACTTTATTTTCGTAATATTATGACTTTATTCTTGTAATATTTCAACTTTATTCTCGTATGACTTTATTTTTGTAATTTCAAGACTTTTTTTCGCAATGTAATTTTATTTGTTTGGCCCTAATACTCCGTTGTAAAAAAAAAATCAATTTAAACCATTAAAATGAATATAAAAGATTTTGAGCGTTTGTTTCTGTGGCAGTTTCTCAAACGCTTAAGTCTTTGCATTCAGCTTTTCAAACTTTTTTTTTTTTTAAATCTACATTATTCCCAATTGTTACCCATCACATTAAGTGTTTTATCTCAAGCAGGTCAACTGGTGCAACTCACAGGGGCGCCAGGGGGACCAACTTTTCCAGGCAGCCCAGGAAATCCAGGAGATCCCTGCACAAAGGAAGAAGTGTAAAACCTACAGTTAGTTATGTTGAAAAAAAGTTTTTTTTTAACTGAACTTTTCTGGGTTTCAGTATTTTAATCTGAAATTTCACTCACAGCTTGACCCTGCGATCCTCTGGCACCTTTCAGCCCCGACACACCAACAGGACCCTACAAACACAAGTAGATCCGCTTCAATATTTGAAATTAATCAAAAATCTTGATCCCGTCAGCCTAACCTACAAAGGTAGAAATATCCGAACCTTTATACATGCAATGCGTCGGCTACATCTTCAGAGAAGTGATACTACGATCATTTCAGACAAAAAAACAAGTAGACTTTATTGAATTTTTTAAAACCTGTACCTGTTCTCCTGGCTTCCCAGCCATCCCTTGTGGTCCAGGAGATCCACTTTCTCCTTTCTGACCTGGCTCTCCTGTTTCACCTTTGACCCCAGGCTGACCATCTGAACCCTGAAACAGAAACGAACAGAAGATTACGTTTCACTTCCAAGAAGCTAATTTCACTTACCGTATTTTTCGGACTTAAATTCCTTTAATTTTCTCAAAAATCAACAGTGAGCCTTATATATTAATTCTGGTTGTGCTTACTGACCTCGAACTGATTTTATGTGGTACACGGTGCTCAGACGAACTTGTTTCACTTAATGCACCGTATAATTAGGTGCGCCTTATAGTCCGAAAAATAGGGTAATTAAAAAAAAATATATTATTTGTGTTTTAATGTCCGCTTACAGAAGGTCCAGGAAATCCAGCAGCCCCGATCGGCCCAAGATCACCTGTAGATCCCTGTTAATGTCGTCAAGCACAAATGTAGGGTCATCAAGCTGATAAATAATCATAATAAAACTCAGTTTAATGTTATTTAATGTGCAAAAGGCTCAACTGACAGGGGTTCCTCTTGAGCCTCGACGTCCTGCTGGTCCTGGTGGGCCAGTTTCACCCTGAAAGGACAAAATTTAATACGCATTTAATGATAAGAATTCTTAAACAACTGATTCAAAACTATTTATTTTTGCTTTTTAACATCTTTTCCATTAATTATGTTAGTTTGTAGCAAATAATATAATGCTGACAGATTGTATTTTAATGTTAAAAAAAAATGATGGACGCACCTTTTCTCCATTTGGTCCCCCGGGACCAACAGGTCCAACAGGACCAACAAGCCCCTTTATAAAAGAATAACAATATGAGATTAAAATATAACGTGTATTTTAGAATCAAGTTTAAAAGTCCTGTATGTTTTACGTTATTTTGCCAAACAGACGGTGTAGATTTTGTAAATGACTCACCCTCGCACCGTCAGCTCCTGCTTTTCCTTCAAGTCCTTTCTCACCAACAGAACCCTGGTAAAAGAAATCAGCATTAAAAATCTCAGAACTTAATACAATGATCCTGTATCCTTCCATCCATCCTTCCACCCATCCACCCATCTTTCCTTCCATCCATCCACCCATCTTTCCTTCCATCCATCCACCCATCCATACATCCATCCTTCCTTACTTCCATCCTTCCACCCATCCATCCATCCACCCATCCTTCCACCCATCCATCCTTCCACTCATCCATCCACCCATCCTTCCTTACTTCTATCCTTCCATCCATCCATCCATCATCCATCCATCCATCCATCCATCCACCCATCCTTCCTTCCATCCATCCACCCATCCTTCCTTCCATCCATCCATTCACCCACCCTTCCTTCCATCCATTCATCCTTCCATCCATCCACCATCCTTCCTTACTTCCATCCATCTAGCCAGCCAACCATCCATCATCCAGCCATCTATCTATACATCCTTCCTTCCATCCATTCATCCATTCCTCCATCCTTCCATCCATTCATCCTTCCTTCCATCCATCCATTCTTCCATTCATCCATCCATCCATCCATCCACCCATCCTTTCTTACTTCCATCCTTCCATCCTTCCTTCCATCTGTCTATCCATACATACATACATCCTTCCTTCCTTCCTTCCATCCATCCATCCATCCATCCATTTTTTTAATCCGCTTTTTCCTTTCGGGGTTGCGGGGAAACTGGTGCTCATACCCAGCAGTCACTATCAAAGAGGTGGGGGACACCCTGGACAGGTGTCTTGTCCATCCCAGGGACACGTAGAGACAAACAACCATGCACTCTCTCACTCACACCTAGGGACAATTTAGATTTTAATCCTTAATAGATTTATTGTCGTATCTGTTTTTTTTTTTTTTTTGTAGATGATCTGATTATGTTAATGTTAAAGGATTCCTTAGATAGAGAACTTCACTAATTGGCTTTTCTTTGTATGTGAATGTTTCTGTAAAGACTTTGTTGTGAACTGGCGCTATCTGAATTGAATTAATGTAGATTCTCAGTGATCAGGAACTTAACAAACCTAAGAATTTTTTTTTAAGGGAACTGGACTTCTTGTATTGTTTTGCTTTGTTTATGTAAGCGAAACTGACATGTAAATCCCTCCCACCCCTCTCTCCTGAGGGTCATTAGGGTCTCTGTCGGTCTGGTCCACATAGGAGACGTTTTGGTCTCATGCACCAAAGTTAAAATTGCTGTGAACTGTAATGTATGTTCTAGAAAGTTGGACTCTGAAACCTTCTCGCCATCAGAAGTTAGATGGTTTAAGATAACAAGGACCATAATAACTCTCAGAAGGGAGGGTGATTTGCATGTTAGTTCAAATTAAGCAAAAATGGAGCAACTGATTGTTGTTTTAAAGATGACACAAATGCAAGGCCATAAGAGTTTTATTTATTTTTTATATTTTAAAATCATTCATTTTTGTGGATTAACTTACAGCATCTCCCTTTGGTCCTGAGGGTCCTGGTACCCCTCTCTCCCCTGGCATCCCTTGAAGTCCAGGACCACCTGGCTCTCCAGCAGCACCCTTTGGACCTGGGTTACCCTGATTTGTGTAATACAGCAGGAATTATCACAAGAAATGTGTCAGTTTAAAATGTGTTTTTTTTTACCCAAATGATACCTTGGCCCCATCTGGTCCTGGTGCTCCTGGACTTCCTTTAGGTCCCAGCAGCCCATTGGGCCCAGTTTCACCTCTTTCTCCTGGAGGGCCTCTTTCTCCCTGTTAAAACAGCCAATACTTAAAGACACACAACTGTTTCTCTAGGCCTGTCACAGTAAAAAAAAATGTTGCTAGGCGATTAATCGTCTCAGAAATTATTGTGATAAACGATAATATTGATTGAAATTTGGCAATAATTAGTCATTATTGTCAAATAACTTAAGAATGTCTGTTAATTTGTTTTGAGTGTAGTACCTTTTGCGACCACCGGATAGCAGTTTAAGACTGTTTGAACTGAAGGATGGATAGTGAGGGAGCGAGCAGCGCGTCTCTTTAAGAAAAATGGGAGGGAGGCCCCTTGACGTGACATGGGCTGTCTCCTGTTCTCAAAATGGCAGACGCTTGGTGTGGTTTTAGCTCTTTAGCATAGGATTTTTCACACAAAGCTTTTAATAAAAAATCAGTAAACAAGTTCTCAGCTCCTTTTTGCAGAGAAAAACAACTATAGATGAAGGCACAGGTTTCAACCATGAATTTTGGAACTTCGACAAGATGGAATTTTTTTCCCGAGGTCGGCCAGTTAGCTTAGTTTGTAGCTTAGCTTCTTATCTTAGCTGCTTTTAACAGTCCAAAAACGCGATTTTGGACAGTTAAAATGAATTTTAAAGAGAAAAGAGTAAGGGAGGGGTCAGTGAAGAACACCAGCTTTTTTGTCTTCCAGTGTCTTCAGTAGAAAGAGAGAGACACGAAGAAATGGTAAAGCCGATAAATGAAAATGAGGTTGATAATTTTCATTTATTATGTGATTAATTGATTTATTGTTCATCGTGACAGGACTATGTTTCTCACTGCATTAAACAACAAAATATGCCTGAATTAAACAACAATATTAGAGCTTGACATGATTAATGGACCTACTCTTGGACCTGTTCCCCCAGCAGCACCAATTTCTCCCGCAAGACCCTGCAAAAACATCAAAACAAATCAACATTAAACAAATATTAATGTAATTTTGTATAAAACTTAAGGTTATGTTTAAATAAATTAACATTGACACTTTGTTGTACCTCATCGCCTGGTTTACCACCCTCTCCAGGTGGTCCTGGTGGTCCAGGCAAACCCTAAAAACCAGACACAAAGACAAAAACGTAAACCGATAAATTATCACACTAGTTCACTTAAGAGTTAATTTTGAGTTTTACCCTGTTTATAAATTAATGCTAAACGCTTATTCCTTTATACTGACACAAAATAAACAATAAAAATGTCATAAATGCAAGTTTAAATGAAAAAAGTCAGATTTTCTGTAACTGGACAAATAAGTTTTACTTAAAGATTTCCCTTCTCCCATTCCAGCCTTGTTTTCTCGTGTATAAATTAAATTACATTTTAATTACGAGTGCGCAAATAACAGATGTTTACCTGAAAACCGCTCACTCCTTGAGGTCCCTGTTCACCTCTTTTTCCTGCAGGACCCTGGAGAAAAGCAAAATTATTATAAAATAATCTAATATTAGTTTTAAGTATTAAAATTTCTCTAGAGTTGGGCACTTACGGCTGGACCAGGTGGACCAGCAGCTCCTGTCTCTCCATCTTTTCCATTAAGTCCCTAAAAGACAAAAATAAGCATTTACCAAAAAAAAGGTCAAACTTCTTTAATAACATAATAATAAAGTAGAAGAATTGTATTGTGCGAATGCTTATTGCAGAAGAACTTGCTGAAAAACAGCTGACATTGGCTAAAAACATGCTGAACTGTAGCTGAAATGAAGAACTAGCCTGAAGTAGCAGAAGAAAGCAGAAATAACACATATTTGCTGAAATAGGTTGAAATAAGCAGAAATTAGCATAAAAATGAGGAAATTAGCTTAAAAAAGTTGAAATGAGCAAAAAATAGCTGAAAAGTAGCTGAAAAAGCAAAAAGAAGTTTAAACTACCAAAATGAAGTGGAATGAGCTGAAATGAGTTCAAAAGAGGTGGAATTAGCTAAAAATGCAAAAATTAGCATACAAACAGCTAAATAGTAGCTGAAATAGCAGAACTTAGCAGAAAAAAGCTGAAACAAGCATAGAGAAGTATAAAGAAGTTAATTAGCCTGAAAGTAGCAGAAATTACCACAAAAAACTTGAATTTATCTTAAAACTGCTGAAATTAGCTAAAATTTATTTTGAAAATAGTGGCTTCAAAGGTAGAACAAGCTTAAATTATCATAAAAAAGCAGAAAGAACATGTTTTCCCAATTAGGCTGAAACAAGCAGAAATAAGCATGAATAAATAGAAATCAGGAAAAGCTGAAATTAGCAACAAAAAGAAAAAACAGCTGAAAAGTAGCTAAAAACGCAGAAAGAAGCTGAAATTATAAGAAGGATATGGAGAGAGCATAGTTTTGCTCAATTATGCTGAAAAAAGTTTAAATGAGTACAAAAATGTGGAATTCATTGAAAAAGCTTAAATTAGCATAAAACAGCTAAGTAGTCTCTGGAATAGTAGAAAAGCTGAAACTTGCATAAATAAGCTGAAACAGAATAACAAGCTGAAATTAGCAGAAAGAAGTTAGAAGAAGCACAAAAATGTAGTTAGCAGAAAAAATCTGAAAGGAGTACAAAACAGATGAAAAAAACAGCTGAAATTTGCTGAAAGTAGCTGATTTAAAAAAAATTGCACAAGGAAGCTGAAATAAGCTAAAGCAGAACAAAATGTGAAAGGAACAGTCAAAGGATGTAAACAGATCTAAAGATGTGAACGACGGAAAATGAGCTCAGTTCATTTTTGATTAGAAAAAAGTGGCAGAAAAGGCTAAATATTTCAAAAAGCTAAAGTTGCACCAATACCAAAAGTCATAGCAGGATTGTCCTGAAAGAGCTGAACATTTTGATTTATGATTTTTTGAAATGGCACAAAAACGAGAATCACTTCGAAAAACGTATGGAAGAATAATGGATCACAATGGTGTGAATGCTTCACACCATAAAACAAACTCACCCTTGGACCTGGAGCTCCAGCACTTCCAGCCTCTCCAATTTTCCCAGCATCACCCTGGTAAAAAAAACAAAAAAAACAAACAAACAAGAGTGTAAGCACAAAAATCAAACTGTTTTTGGATTTCTTAAGCTGTTTAAACAATCGTTTTCTTTAAGTCAAGCTTTTACGTGTAGTTTGCTTTCAGTTAAGGGAAAAGAAGAGTCCCCCCTCCTTCAGTTCTAAGTCTTTTTGGACCAGGACACATTGATAATCGTCTCATTTTCACCAGAAATTGTTCAAATTGAGACAAGTGTACAAAAACACTCAACAGATTCAATCATGTTGATATTTATTCAACAAAAACTGAACCAAAAAGAAACAGCTGTGTGCAAAAATCCAGATCCAGCATCAGACTCTAACATGGTTATGGAGGAATTTTGGCCCACTCTTCTTTCGGGCGTTGCTTCAGTTCATTGATGTTCCTGCACAGCTCTCTGAAGGTCCCACCACAGCGTTTCAGTCCAGTTCAGGTTCTGGACTTTGACTGGATCTTTGATTCTTTTCTTTTTGAGCCGTTCAGTTGTCGATCAGCTGCTGTGTTTGGCTCATTGTCCAGTTGGACACATTTTGGTCCAAACTGTTGGACAGATGTCCTCACATTTGACTGTAGAACCGTTTGATCTACAGAGAAGTTTAGATCGACTCAATGTCTGCTAAGAGCCCAAACCATTAGCCTTCCACCACCGTGCTGACAACTGGTATGATGTTTGTTCCAGTATGATGTGTTTTATTCCTCCAGTTATGCTGCTGTGCATTCTGTGTAAACATCTCTCCTTTGGTCTGGTTTTGTTCCAGAAGTCTTGCAGCTCCTTCAGATGAAACCTTTTAAATCTGAGTGGTAGTGCCGTGTTGTTTTTAAAAGTAATTTTCCTGCAGCCCTTTCAAACAAACCATACTGATTTAATCATCCCATCATGACTGTTGACCTTTGACCTGTTAATTGAGGCCTCTAGTCGCAGACTGAGCTCATGTCTACAAGCATTGCACAGTCTGACCTTGGGGTGAATTTGCTAAAATGTCAACACTTAAGAAGCTGTTGTGGTTTATGGTTTCTTGTTAGTGATCTGTTTTTTAGTATCTCTGTTTCTTATCCAACAAAGTTCAGTCAGGTCATATGGACGATTTTTTTTTTTTTTTGAGACGTTTTGTCCTTCATCCAAAGGACTTCATCAGTCCGAGGTGCCACTCAGTCCCAAAAGCAGCACACTCACATAGTGGACCAACCAGTTTGCTGGTGATAAGATGGTTCCTGGGGCCTGTCCTCTCCCCTGTCGGCTCCTCTGAAGCAGCCATAGCCAAAGTGGTTCAAAACATCAAAGTTCATGCGCAATAACCCAGGTAGAAAATCCAACAAAGTTCAGTCAGGTCATCTGGACGGTTTATTTTTATGTTGAGACATTTCATCCTTCATCCAAAGGACTTCTTCAGTATGAGGAGCCACGACAAACGGAATCCCACAAGCAGCACACCCACATAGTGGACCAATCGGTTTGCTGGTGATGACCTGACTGAACTTTGTTGGATTTTCTACCTGGATTATTGAGCATGACCTTTGATCTGTTTCTCATCCTTGAACTGGAGTTATTTCTGATCATGAATCTTACTTCCTGTTTCACTTTATTGAGCTGTTTCCCCTGAGTTCTTTTTATTTACTGTCAGTTTTTTGGGCTACATCAGGTCCCTGTTTGGAATTGCTTCATCAGTGTTTATTAGAGTTCCTAGATTTCTTTGTTCTTTGTCAGATCCTGCCAAGTTCTGTCTGTGTTGAAAGAGTTGGACTTTGTTTTTTTTCCCCATGACTCTTCGGATTCTACCTCATTTTCATCAAAAAGAGGAACAATACTACCACTCTCTGTCCCATACCTCCAATAATGCCTAATTACAATCTCCATCAGATCTCAAACACACTCATACAAACCGTGAAGCCCTTTGGTCCTGGCAGACCCATGGTTCCTGCTGCTCCTCTGTTCCCAGTAGAACCAGCTGAGCCTGGTTTGCCATCTTCTCCTGCTAAGCCCTATAATGATGAGGAGAATTGGTAATTAAAAATAAACAATAATGTTGCAAATACATCAGCACTCTCTACATTTGGAGAAAGCGTAAAACATTGCGTACCATCGGTCCTGGTCTTCCCTCTGCTCCCTGAGCACCAATTGGTCCTGAGAGACCCTGTGAAAAAAAAAATGCATGAGGATTTTAAACATCTAGATGTTTTTTCCCTTCTTCTGGAAATTTTCGGAAACTGTCGGAAAGTAATCGTTGGATGCACATCCAAAACAAATACATTTTTGAAGTCAGCCCATTTCAAAATGGCCGTCACAGCTAAATGACATACAAAAACAATAAAATGGCTCAAAGTCTGACAGCTTTACAGATATTGACCTCGACTTTGATGTGGCAATACATTCTTTGAGCACTAAAACGTCTTGCAAGATCTTTCATCGTCACATCATTGGCTCGCTCACGTCATTCACAGGCTTGGACCAGAACAGCTTTCACACTGTTCTTTCTCAACATAACATGAG